TTGTTGAATGAAATTAACATAGTTATTAATTTATTGTAAAAACATGACGGATAATCTGAAACAGATCCAGTTCAGCTGCTGTTGATCTACAGTATTAGTTTCTATGAAGGCTGTAATCTGTTTAAGCTGTTAAGCGCCCTCTAGTGGACAACTTGTGCAACAACACCAAAAGATTTCATGTTTGTTCAAAACAATTAAAAAAAACTTTTATCTGTTGTTTTAAACTCAACAAAACCATWAAAATCTAAACCAGTGTTGCAAAGAGTATTAATTAAATTTTGAGTTGTTTTTGTTACTTTAACAGTTGGACCCTTTTTAAATGAAAAGCTGTATTAATAYAGTTTATTCACTCTGGTTTTTGTGCAGGTGTGGGCGTTCTGAGCGGCCTGCTGTACGCAGCAGGAGGACACGACGGTCCTCTGGTGAGGAAGAGCGTCGAGGTGTTCGACCCGCAGAGCAACACRTGGAGGCTGGTCAGCGACATGAACATGTGTCGACGGAACGCAGGTGGGATTACAAACATTACTGCCGTCAYCTTCAGACGCTCGTTACTAAACTGTATTTTTAATAGTTTACCTAAATGTCAAGATTTTAGTGAATCTTATTATTGTCATTATTATTATTTGAAGAGTTGTTAGTTTTAACCAGGCTCACTGTGTCATGGCTCCAGGTGTTTGTGCCATTAACGGGCTGCTGTATGTGGTCGGAGGAGACGATGGCTCCTGTAACCTCTCCTCTGTCGARTTTTACAACCCGCTCACAGACAAATGGAGTCTCATCCCGACCAATATGAGCAACGGGCGCAGCTACGCCGGTACGTCGGTGATCTCGTGGATCTGAGAGAGAATCTGAAACGATGTGGGCTCACTCTCTTCTGTTTTTTTTTTTTTCCTCTCGCTGTCTCAGGAGTCGCAGTGATCGATAAGCAGCTATGACCCAGGTCCTCCCCGCAGAACCAGCTCCAAATCCACCGTCGGCTTCGCAGAAACTCAAAGCAACGTTCGACGCGAGCCGACAGGAAGAGCAACGCCTGAAAGTAGCGCCGTCCGCGAAGATGAGACGCCGCCAAGAGATTAAGCCGCGAGTCCCGACCGAGCTGTTAGCCGTCGGGTCGAAAGTGTTTTCTTTTAGCTGCAGCTGTGGGACTGTGGATTCATAGACAGTTTTCAAACCACGTCACTAGAAGCTACGTCAAACCGTTTCATGTCAGGACATGACTAGTAAACAGATGAAATGTTTCAGAGACACGGTTTAATAATGGTTAAGTGTCAAACTTTGGTTCCTGAAAGCTAAAAAAAAGAAAAACGCTTTTAGGACGACTGGCCACGAATAGCATCCAGCTGCATTAATCTTTCTGTTGCACTGACAACTTTTCTTTTTTATTATTATTCAGGAGCATTATTTAAAATCCTGAGTGTGTTGAATTATCTTTTTTCCCTGTAGGACTTGCTCATCTTGTCTGTCGTACCAAACGAGACGTGGTGGAGTCACGTCCACCTCAACAGTATTTCTTCTCACAGCGTTTGGCCGACAGAGCTGCAAGATGATAAACAATGCAGAAAACAAACYATATGCAAAAAAGTATATTTATTGTTTTGTTTTTGTTGTTTTTTGTCTTTTTGAAAAATGTGTGTAAAATAAGTTTATAATCACTGCTGTGGCTTCAGATCAGCCGTTTGGACTTTTGTGGAAAAAACTACTGATGYTCTGATCTCTTGCACTGACCGCTGCAGACCGGCTGATTGGTCGACGGAGYGTCTGTCACTCCAGTTTTTTTTTTAAAAGCCAATAATGTCATCAGATATTGTAAGAAAAACGAACAAAGAGGCTGTGCCAGTCGCAAATCAGAGGCGGAGCAATGCTGGAGATGTCTTTAGTTCTGAAAAGACATATTGAACCATGTTTGTTTTTTTTTTAGGATCAATGCACTGTAAAAAGATCATGTTAAAGATGCAGGTTTTATTTATTGTTTGGCTCCGTTTAATTCATAGTTTGTTCATAAAAAGTGAGATTATATAGTTTATGATCAACGTACATCTGTTCAGATGAAGGCAGAAGCATTTCAAATGTGCCATGGCAGATTGCTCTTGAAGAGTTTCTTGTGTAATTTAAAGCCAATTTTTGTTTTCTATAATTTCAGTCCCTTTAGAAAGAAGCACATAAACCTAATAAGATCGTACAGTTTTGTTATATGATCCATTTGTTCAAATGTCCATGTAACTTTTTTTTTTTTTAAGTCTTTATAGGTTGATTCAATTGTCAAGTTTCCTGACATTGTTTTGCTGGTGATTACTGTAAATTACAGTCATATGAAGGAGTGATGGGACCAGTTTTAAACACAGTTTGGTACCAGATTAAGCATCAGTTCTGCCTTTGGTCAAAAAAACARCGTGCCCTGTTGACCTGCTGAAATGTGACACAATTTGATATTTTGCTTATTTGCTTCAAGTTGGGCTTTATATTGAGCATCAATATAGCCCTTATTTTGAAAAAAAAAAAGATTGAAACATGCAACTTCTGCAAAACGAATGGTGTTTCAAGCACAAATATACATATGAAAGCCTTCCACTCATATCATGAAAGAATGTTGCTTTTTTTTAAAGCCTGTCTTTTTAACATTGTTACACTTTAAACACAGTGATCAGCAATAAACTACAACTTGACTCAGTCTGATGTGGAAGAGCAAAACTTTAAAAAAACTTGTATAAATGTTTATAAGTTTGTGATAAATTACAGATTCCACTACTGAACGGATGTTGATCGTGTGATGAAGTTATAAGATGATGCAGTTGTTATATTTTTCATATAAACTGTTGACATTGTGACCAAAACCTTTGATTGGTGTGAATTTGTTGTGGGCGTGGCCTTAATGTTAGCCTGTTAGCATAATTAGCTGCAGGTGTTTGTCCGCCATTTTCCGAGCACTAATTAGCTTCTTCGTCCGAAAGCGTCACGACATTAGGAGCAAAAACAGGTTAGATGAAATAAAAAAAAATGAACAAAACAGCTTTTCATCGAATATTAGCCAGTTTTTGTTGTTTGTTTCCCGCTTAAAGAATATTTAGCTGAGAACAGGCATTGAACTCCGGTCAAAGAGCTCCGCATGTTTTCCTGCTCAAACACGTCTGGTTTCATGGATGGATGATTAAMTGACTTCTACAGAATCTGAAGAGGAAACTGAAACACAGAATCAGGTGAGTTGGAGCTGAGAAACAACCTGAGTTTTAACACACCCGGAAACGCCGACCTTTAATTGTGCTGCGTTCAAGTCCTRCTGATTTAATCGGATTTTTGAGAAGCTATTATTTACAAAACAAAATGTCTCAATCTTAACTGGAATTATTTGAACAGCTTAAATTTAATATTTGATAGAACCTGGTTTTAATAATGTGCTAAATACCTCCACCAAGAAAGTTACGCTTTATATAAATTTTAAACGTTTGCGGCTGTAATGCTTGTGTTTGGAGCAGAATGTTGACAGCTACAATTAACTACTTTGTTACAGT